TCTTTCTCCCACGGAGCAGCTGGTAGAGTGCACTATAGAGACTTTAAATAGCAGGCTACATTCTGAACACAGGCGTGATTTGATTGATTCACATGATGTTAAATATTTGAATTAGCTGCCAAACAAATTAAGTGATTTCATTATTTAATAGCCAATGACTTAGATTTTGCCTTTTTACACTCTGTGTCATCCAGCTGGTGGATGTTCAGTTTCTTTTCTTTAATGATCCTGAGTTTCCTTCCCATTAATAGGCTGAAGATCTATTAATCACACCAGCCACCATTTTAAAAGAAAAACCAGACCCAGATAGTCTAGTTTTCGGAACTGTTTTCACGGATCACATGTTGACGGTGGAATGGTCCTCAGAATTTGGATGGGAGAAACCTCATATCAAACCTCTTCAAACACTGTCATTGCATCCTGCCTCATCAGTGTTTCATTATGCTTTAGAGGTAAGTGTGGAGGACTGGAAGTAAGTAAATGGGAATTAGTGATGATGCTACGCTTACTGTATCTCAGTGTGGGTATTAAATAAGTTTTTCACATAGTCTTGAATTTTCTATAATGTCAGTTTAAAAAAATCATTTAGAAAATATAAGAATTTGTTGTTGTTAAGTACCATCAAGTCAGTTCTGACTCATAGCGATCTGGTATATGGTTTGTGTGGAGCAGATGGTGGGGGTTAACTGTCATCCTTGTAATTAGCAGTCCAGTGCTTATCTTACAGCGCCACACCAGGTATCCAATAGCTGGTAGGAAACAGCAATCAAAGGTCAGTATTTTACTAAGTCACACTTGTGGTTTTGGGTCTTTTAATGACTGAGAAGGAGTCATTGAACATAATTTTATGGTTAGATTTTTATGCTAACTGCATGTTTATGACTAGCAATAATGTATAGATGTGCATGTTCAGGGATATATAATTATATGTCTTTTTCAGGTAGGAGTTGAACTAATTGTAAGCATAAAATATTTAAAGAAGAATCCTTTCTTTCATCCTTCTCAGGATACAGAGTTAGGCAGCTGCACAATATACTTCCCATTTCCTCAACACCCATTTGATTTTACCCCTTTTAAATGTGGTGGACATCTTTCTTAGAATATTATGGATGCTGAAAATAGATACTGGCATACCTATTAAGGGATTAAAATATAATAATCATATTTACTCATAATAATAAGTATAAAATAACAACTACTCTTGTTTACTGAATTCCTGTTGTGGTTACTGGACTAGAAGATACCTTAGATGGATCATTTTATTTCATTTTCTTAAGTGAGAAAGCTTATGGTTGAACATCCAAGCCTGAGTCACATTTCTGGGTTCAAATCTTGGTCTTTATAGCTACCTAGCCTTGTGTGGTTCTATAAGCACTGGTCTGCTAACCAGACTCGATGACATTGCACTTAACAACAGCTGGGTGCTCTATATCAGATCCCTGGTGTTGTGGTCGATTGGCATTGGGCTGATAAGTGCAAGGTTGGCAGTTCAAACCTACCAACCACTCCATGGGAGAAAGATGAGGCTGTATGCACCCGTAAAGATTTAGTCTCACAACCCCAAAGAAGCAGTTCTACTCTGTTCTACAAGGTCACTATGAGTTGGAATTAACCTGATGGCAGTGAGTTTTGGTAGGCAGTTCTACAGGCTCTCTGGTGCTACTATGGTTAAGCACTAACTACTAGCCAAACAGTTGGCAGTTTAAACTCACCCATAGGTGCTCAGAAGACAGGACTGGTGATCTGCTTCTAAAAGATCACAGCGTATGAAAGCCCTATGGGGCCCAGTTTACTATGAAACACTTGGATTTACCAGGAGCCAGAATCAACTCAATGGGATCTAATAACCACAAGGAACACTATGACATGGAATATTTGTTTAATTATTTTGTACTTCAGTTTCTTTATCAAATTAGACTATCTTCTACTGTTATTGTAGTAAGTTCTGGGCTTCTAAACACAGGCCAGTGGTTCAAACTCACCAGCCACTCCCCTGGAGAAAGATGAGGCTATCTGCTCCCATAAAGGTTTACAGTCTCAGAAATCCTCTATAGAGCCTTCTAGGATGGCAGTGAGGGATTTTGATACTGTAAGGGTGAAATGAGGTGATTCATTTAGGCCTATAGAGCCATGCTACTTATTGGTGATCAATGTCGTCACCAGTCAGACTATATGCCTGCTTGTATATTCCCTTGGAGTCTTAGTCTTGGAAGGGGGTTTGCCCTGAGGGAACCCGACCACTTGCTTTGATGTTTCCTGGGTGAACAACTTGCTTGTTCTTGTAGTAGTCAGTTGGACTGCCGTTATTATTATTATTATATTATTATTATTATTATTTTGTCAGTCTTTCTTTCAAGAACTATCTTCTGTTCTTCTAATTGCTCCAGGCTGGTCTGCTTGTCCTTTCAAGTGGATATTTTCCACCTTAGAAGATTCTGGATGGGGATCAGGATTCTACCTATGGTCTTATGCAATGCAAAGGTCCGTAGGAAGCTTCCTTCACTGGGCAAGTTGTACGCCCATTTTAGGTATTCCAATCAGTCTGCTGTGCATAGGGTCACTATGAGTCAGTGCTGACTCGATGGCACCTAACAACAACAATCAGTTATAGGCAGAAGACGGACTTATAAGCTTTCTATAGTGATATTTCTGGCTGTTCCTTTCTCTCCCCATCAAGTGTCTGTCTTACAATGGTATGCAAGGGAAACCAACATTCAAAAGACAGCCAAGCATCTTAACATTATTTCCCCCCTTTTACCCATTCCAACCATGTCTCAATCCCTGTATCCCAGAGCCCTGGTGTTGAAGGTGTACATACATCATCATTTACCTCTGTCCCACTTAGCCCATGCAAACCTACCTAACTGTTCTCCCATCCGCCTGGTTCTTGTGTAATGTCCCCCAACTCAGCATCCAAACTATCCTGTGTCTATTCCCTACCATGTGCTTCACCTACCACTCCCTCCCCTCACCCCACCCCCCACATCCTGGTAACCAGCAAAAATAATCCTCCCCCCCCCCCCCCCGCCCCTTTTTGGTATGAGTTCTTTTCTTAGTCTTTTAAAATAGTGGTCCTATGCAGTATTTCTCCTTTTGTGACTGACTAATTTCACTCAACAAAATGTCCTCAAGGTTCATCCATGTTTTGTGGTGGCTTACAGCTTCCTCTCTTTTTATCTTGACTGATGCTTTTGAGCAAATTTCAACTCATGATTTAATTCAATTCATGGTTGAGGACCTCCAGCCTGCTTGTGATTTTCCCTTCTTGACTGTCTGCCCTAACTAACTTTGGAGTTGCTTAGCCACCCCACAATTGGGCTAGTCAAATTGTTGCAATAAATCCATTAACATTATACATACCTCCTAATGGTTCTACTTCTATGGCAAAACCTTGTCTGACAACATAGACCAGTGGATTTTAAATGACCAGTACCACTATCTCCTTAATCACTATTATTATAATGTGTTCTACTTTGTGCTTCAAAAGTAACTTGGATATTCTTTGTCATTTGCTTTTCTATATAATTTCTAGAATCAGCTTATCAAGTCAATCAATCATTTATCATTCAGTTTATCAAAATATAATGAAATACCCTGATGTGATTTTCATTTGGGTTGAACTGAATATATAAACCAATTCAAGAAGAATTGACATCTCTAAAACAGTAAATACTTCAATCCATGAATGTGGGATTGCTTTCTACAGTTAGTTGGGTCTTTAAAGAATCTCAGTAAAGTTTTGTAATTTCCTTAGCCATCTAGCACCATTTTTTTTTAAATGATTTACTCACCTAAGTTTTTTTTAGTTTTTTCTTAAAGGAACCCTGGTGGCACAGTGATTGAGCATTCAATTTCTACTCAAGGGTCAGTGGTTCAAACCCACCAGTCACTCTATGAGAAAAAGTAGTGATAGTCTGCTTTGGTAAAGATTACAACTTTGGGATCCCTAATGGGCAGTTCTATTATCTTATGGTGTGCTGTTGTGGTGCTGTAGGATAAGCACTGGACTACAAGGTTAGTTTGAATCTGCTCCTTGGAAACCCTGTACAGAATCACTCTGAGTTGGAACTGACTTGACAGCTCTTAACAACCACAAATTATGTTATATAAGGTTGCTAAGGGTTGGAATAGACTTAATCCAATGGATTTAAGCATACATATCTTTTCACTGAAAGTTTTCTCCCATTAATCTTCTGTCATTTGTTGTGTTATGGTGATTTGCCTGTCGCTGTGATGCTAGAAGATATGTCATTGGAATTTCAAATAGCTGGGTCACCGTGATGGACAGTTTTCAGTGGAAATTCCAGAATTAGAAAGGCTGAAAAATTAGCCACTGAAAATCTGAATCCTACCAGTGGAATGTTGTCTGACATAGTGCTGGAAATTGAGACCCTAAGGTTGGAAGGCACTAAAAATATGACTGGAAAAAAGTTGCTCCTCAAAGTAGAAGCAACCTTAATGATGTGGATGGAGAAAAGCTTTCACAACTTCCATCTGCCCATGTGTCAAGACTCAAAATGAGAAGAAGTGGCTGTAGGCATACACTAATAATCAGAATATGAAATGTGCAAAATATGAGTCAAGGAAAACTAGAAGTTGACAAAAATTAACTGGAACATTTGAAGATGAATATCTTAGGCATTGTTATTGTTTTTGTTAAGTGCTGTTGGGTCGGTTCCAAATCATAGCCACCCTGTATAGGATTTCCAAGGAGTGGCTCATGAGCTTGAACTGCTGACCTTTGGGCTTGAAGGCCAGTGCTGATTCTACAGCACACCAGGTGTCTATCCTAGGCATTTTAGTGAATTACAATGATCGATCGTGTACTGGCTATTTTGAATAAGACAATCTTATGGTCTACTAGGAAGATCAGTTAATACCATTATTATTCAAATTTACCCACCAACCTCTAAAGTCAATAATGATGAAATTGAAAAATTCTACCAACTTTTTCAGTATGAGATTGATCAAACACAAAATCAAGATGTATTGATCATTGCTGGTGACTGGAATGTAAAGGTTGGAAACAAAGTGGCTGGAAAATATGGCCTTAGTGATAGAAACAATGCTGGAGACCGCATGATAGAATTTTACAAGACCAATGACTTCTTCATTGCAAATACCTTTTAGAAAAAGCATAAAAGATGACTATACACATGGACCTCAACAGATGGAATACACAGAAATCAAATTGACTGAATCTGTGGAAAGAGATGGTGGAAAATCTCCATATGATCAGCCCAAACAAGGTCAGTGGCAGAATGTGGAACATCAACTACTCACATTTAAGTTCAGGCTGAAGCTGGAGAAAATAAAAACAAGTCCATGAGAGCCTAAATATGATGTTGAATATATCCCACCTCAACTTAAAGATCATCTGAAGAGCAGATGTGATGCATTAGACTCTAAAGATTGAAGACCAGAGGACTTGTGGGATGAAATCAAGAACATCATACAGGAAGAAAGCAAAAGGTCATAGAGAAGACAAGAAAGTAGGAAAAGACCACAGAAGATGTCAGAAGAAACTCTAAAACTTGTTCTCCAGCATAGAGATGCTAAAGCAAATGGAAGAAGTGAGGCGGTACAAAAGCTGAACAGAAAATTTCAAAGGTCAGCTTGAAAAGACAAAGTAAAATATTATAACAAAATGTGCAGAGACTTGGAATTAGAAAACCAAAAGGAAAGAACATGCTCAGCACTTCTCAAGCTGAGAGAAATGGATAAAAGTTTCAAGCCTCGATTTATGGTATAGAAGGATTCTCTGGACAAATTATTGGATGATGCAAAAAACATCAAAAGCAGATGGAAGGAATACATAGAGTCACTGTACCAAAAAGAAATGGTAGATTTTCAACCATTTCAAGAGGTAGCACATGATCAAGAGCCAATGATCCTGAAGGGAAAATTCCCAGGTGCATTGAAGGCATTGGCAAAGAACAAGGCACTGGGAATTGATGGAATACAAATTGAAATCTTCCAACAAACTGATGCAGCATTTGAGGCACTAATTCCTCTTTGCTAAGAAAATTGGAAGATAACTACCTGGCCAACTAACTGAAAGAGATCAGTATTTGTGTCCATTCCAAAAAGAGGTGACCCAACAGAATGCAGCCATCATCAGACAATATCATCGATATCCCATGCGAGTAAAGTTTTACTAAAGGTAATATAGAAATGGCTGCAACCATACATTGACAAGTAACTTCCAAAGGTTCAAGCTGGTTTCAGAAGAGGATGTGGAATGAGGGATATCATTGCTGACGTCAGATGGATCTTGGCTGAAAGCAGAGAATATGAGACAGATGTTTATTTGTGTTTTATTGACTACACAAAGGCTTTTGATTGTGTGATCATGACAAACTTTGGACAGCATTGCAAAGTATAAGTATTCCGAAACACATAATTGTGCTAAGGAACCTGTACATAGGCCAAGAGAAAGTTGTTCAAATAGAACCAAGGAACACTGAATAATTTAAAATTAGGGAAGGTGTGCGATAGGGCTGTAGTCTTTCACCATACTTATTCAATCTGTATACTGAACAAATAATCCAAGAAATTGGATTATATGGGGGAAAAAATGTGGCATCAGGACTGGAGGAAGGCTTATTAAGAACCTGTGATATGCAGATGATACAACATTTGCTGAAAACCAAGAGGATTTAAAATACTTATTGATGAAGATCAAAGATCACAGCCTTCGGTCGGGGTTGCACGTCAATGTAAAGAAAACAAATCCTCACCACTGGACCAATAAATAACATACATATAAATGGAGAAATGATTGAAGTTGTCAATGATTTCATTTTGTTTGGTTCAACCATCTACACTCATGAAAGCAGCAGTTAAGAAATCAAACCACGTATTGCATTGGGCAGATTTGCTGCAGAGATCTCTTTAAAGTGTTCAAGAGCAAAGATGTCAGTTTGAGAACTAAGGTACGCCTGGTACAAGCCATGGTTATTTTCAATAACTTAATATGCATTTGAAAGTTGAATAGTGAATAAGGAAGCTTGTAGAAGAACTGATGTGCTTGTTATGGGGTTGGAGGAGAATACTGGAAGTACTATGGGCTATCAAAAAACAAATAGATAACTGTGTTGTAAGAAGTACAGCCAGGGTGCTCCTTGGAAGCCAGGATAGCCAAACTTCATATTTCATACTTCGAACATACTTTTGGAGGGACCAATCACTGGAGAAGGATATCATGTTTTGGTCAAGTGGAAGGCCAGGAGAAAAAGAGGAAGACCCTCAATGAAATTGATAGACACAGTGGCAGCATCAGTAGGCTTAAACATAGCAATGATTGTGAGGCTGATCCAGAACCAGGCCATGTTTTCGTTCTATTGTGCGTATGGTCACTATGGGTTGGCACTGACTTGATGGCACCTAACAACAGTCTACTAGGAGTCCTGGTGTGGTGCTGGGTAAGCACTGGACCGTAAGGTCAGTTTGAACCACAAGGTCAGCAGTTCACCAGCCGCTCCTCAAAAACCCTATACAGGGTCTCTATAAGTCAGAACTGACTTAATGTCACTTAGCAATAACAACAACATCCTCATAAAAATTAGTAGGCATACTGGTCAGATAGAGTCCAGAACTGAATGCATCTCCATGACCCAATTTTCATCCAAATACACAGGTTTGATACTATAGAGTAAGCACTTTCTTATTTAACTGAAGTATTAGTTCTATCATATTTAATAAATTAGTGGTACTTGAGGAGGCTTCAAAAAGTTTATGGAAGAATGGAATAAAAATATAATAGAATTTTCTATGAACTTTTTGAAGTCCCCTCATGTGTGCACTTAAATGCAGCATTTTATTTGTGCTTTGGCATTGTGCTGCATGATTATATCTCTTTTCCTTTTTTTTTTTTCTCATTTAAGGTTATAAATCTCCTAACAGGCCTATTTTTCATTATTATACAGTGCAAATCATTTTTTAATTTACATTATAATTTTTTAATTGACTTATCTTGTGGTTAGAAAACATGTGAAAAGAACATCTACTCAGCAGGTGGTATGTGCAGAGTTCTGTATATATATTAGGTAAACTTCTTGTTCCTTTTGTTCAAATTCTCCATATCTTTATTGATTTTTAGTGTATTTGTTCTGTCAACTCCTAAGAGTGCCTGTGATAAAATTGCTCACTAAAATAATAAGCTTTTCTTTTTTCTTCTATTTACCAGTGTATACTAATTCAAGGAGTCCTGGTGTGGCACTGTGGGCTAATGCACTGGACTGCAAAGTCATTTGAGCTGCATGGTCAGTGGTTCAAGCTCATCATTTGCTCCTTGGAAATCCTATACAGGATCGCTATGGGTCAGAACTGACTCGACGACACCCAACAATAATAACAACAATAATAATTTAAGGAGTCCTGTTGTGAGGCTGTTGTGTAAGCACTGGAGTACTAAGTGCAATGTTGGTGGTTTAAACCCACCAGTCACTCCTCAGAAATCCTGTATAGGGTCCCTACGAGTTGAAACTAACTTGATGATGCTTAACAACAACAACCTAGTTCCAAATCTTTTCACATTCCTTCTTAGTGGAGGATCTAGGTTTATACCCACTTGGTTTGAGGAAGGTGACATGGAGTTATAGCCTTAACCAAGAGAGTGTTAAACTGTCTGGATCATGTGATTTTGGTGACTGTAACAGGTCTGGTCATAACTAGATTATCTACTCAGTTTGAGTTGTGTTTAAGTGTCGTAGAGTCAGTTCAAATGCATAGCAACCCTTTATAGGGATTCTGAAGAGCAGCTGGTTAGCAGTCCAGTGCTTATTCTACAGTGCTACACCAGAACCAGATTAAATGCAAGGGCACATGAGTACATTTGGGAGGGTGTGAAGGGAGAAGTGCAGCAAGGTATTTGGTTTTATTCTTCATTTTGCAGACAGTTAGCCCATGTTGCATGATTTGAGATGTTGTCTTAACAACCTTCATTGATGTGTTATTTAGCAAACTGGCTCCTACTAAGCAAAGAAAAATTGAATTATCGATACAGTCTGGTAATAAGGTTTTCTCTTTCATTCCAGTTATCATAACCATTTCTGCCAACTGGTTATGGGGTGGGGTGGGGTGCCGTGGAGTCGGTTCCAACTCACAGTGACCTTGTATAGGATTTCCGAAGTTGTAAGTCTTGGTAGCAGAAAGCCTCATCTTTCTCCTGTAGAGTGGCTGAAAGTTTTGAACTGCTGACTTTGAGGTTAGCAGCCCTACTCATAACTATTTTGCTACCAGAGCTCCTTGGTTATGAAGTAGATTTAGGGATGTCAAGTTTAGGTCATAAGGCAACCCAAAAATGCTCAGCTACTAGCCAAAATGTTGGTAGTTTGAGCACACTCAGCAGTTCCATGGACTCGAGGGCACATGACAGCAATAATGAAGGCCTGAGCCCCCGGGTAATATAAAGTTAACCCCTTGGCTGCTAACTAGAAGGCTGGAGGTTTGAGTCTACTTGGAGGCACCTTGAATGAAAGACCTGGTGATCTACTTCTGGCAAAGAAAAATCAGAAAAACCAATGGCTATATTGACAATCCTCCGGAGCCATTGAGAATTCTCTGACACGCATGAGTTGGATACTGTTTTGAGGTCAAGTTGAACTAATAACTATGATAAAGCTAATGAGCACTCCTAGAAAAGTCACTCTTTTGAACACAAGTATTATTTTTATTTAAGTTATTCTAAAATTTATTTCTTTTCCATCTTCAGTTATTTGAAGGATTGAAGGCATTTCGGGGAGTAGATAATAAAATTCGACTGTTTCGACCGGATCTCAATATGGATAGAATGTATCGATCTGCTCTGCGGGCAACTTTGCCGGTATGCAAAATTTGGAATTTCTTTCAGTTTTATGTGTGACTGTGAGTGTATAGCAAACAAGTTATTTCTGAATACTTAGGAAAACATTCAATACAAACCAAATGAACATGGGAGTTGTTTTTTGTCTATAATTATTGTTAAGTGCCATGGTTAATTATTGTTAATTATTGGTTGTGACCCATAGCAACCCTGTATAGGGTTTCTGAGGAGAGGCTGGTGGGTTTGAAATGCCATACTTACCATTGGCAGTCCAGTGTTTATCCTACAGTGCCACACCAGACTTCAGAACGCCATATTATTGAGGTAAAAATGCAAGGAGTGAATAACATTTAGCAATTCTATTTTTTAAAATTTTCTCAATGAATGTCTATGGTGGATTAATATATATGTGGAGATTGTTGTTGTTGTTAAGTGCCGTCGAGTCGGTTCCGACCCATAGCGACCCTGTACAGGGTTTCCGAGGGTGTAAATCTTTACGGGAGTAGAAAGCCTCATCTTTCTCCCGCATGTGGAGATACTAGGATTAAAAAAAAGTTTAAAACTAAAATAATTATTTAAAGGCTACGTAGAATTATATGTTGAAAATGTAATGTATGGTATACATCAGAGATATTTTGGGAATATTTTGCCTCATTTGACAGTAGCAAGTGTGTTATTGTTAAGTGCTGGTTACAACTCAAAGTAACACTGTGTAGGGTTTTCAAGGAGCAGCTGGTTGGTTTGAACCACCTGCCTTGCAGTTGGCAGTCTAATGCTGATACCATCCAAAGTTTTCTAAAAAGCAGGTAATACAATGGTTTCTCATGGCCCTTGGATCCTGGCTATGATATTGTTCAGCACATAGCAGAAGTCATTATAAGGTGAATTAGATTTAGACCCTATGGTTTACATTTACGAAGGAGGTTATCTGTTGCCAGTCACTGAGATGTGACTTCATTCATCTTTCAGAACTGAAGAAGCATTTTCCTTCTTTTTTACCTTCTGTATATTTAACCTTTAAAAATCTTGCTAAAGCTCAGCACTGTGAAAACATGAGGACAGCTACAACCAAGCTGTTGTTAAGTACTGTCACACTGGTTCCGACTCATAGCAATCCTGTGAGGGTTTCTAAGGAGTGACTGGTGGGTTTGAACCACTGACTTTGTGGTTAGCTGTCTGATACTTACCAGAACCAAGTAGCTGCCTGTTTTTAGCCAGCCTTTTATTTCTTTACCTATATTTGTAAGCTTGCCTTTTTCCACTTCCTTCCAAGGTTGCAATATAGTAACAAAAGGGGAAGGAAGATAAATTTTTGGACTACATCCTCCTTTTACTCTTTTACTTGTGGTCCACAGATCCCTGCTCAAAACATTTAAATGAGGCCAGACGAAAGGAAGGAGCATATATTTGTCATGAGTTCTGCTACAGTGTAATGGGGTTTCCGGTTTGTCAAACTTCTCAAATAACAACAGCTTTGATAGACCATAAAGCTGTCCTGGACCAAGAATAGGACTAGGAATGGAAGGGATGTAAGAGACTTGAGGAAGATCTAGATATAACGAAGTGTAGAAATGAAAGAGCAAATGATGTCAGGCATAATAAAGTCTCCAACTTTTAAGTCTAGACATTTAGGATGGGGTTAAGGAAGCAAGAGTTCCTATTGACAACAACATGAGTTTAAAAGGTTGGTATAAGATTGATGAGTACTGTGTGCACACTATTTTCCCTTCCTCCTGGTTGTTAAAAATAATGTTGACTTTTCCTCACACTGAGGTCAATCAACACCTCAGAATTCTCTACTCAAAGCATACCATGAACCACTCCCATAGTTCAGAGATAGTATAAAAGATGAAATCGTGAGAATTCATCTTAGAACTGTTAGGTAAAATAGTTACTCACCAAATACTTATTGAATGATTAAAAAATTATTTCCCTCAGTGATTTAATAACCTTAGGTAAGGTCACTTAGATAAAATCTTCACTTCAAAAGAAAAAAAGAGCAGTTGCCTTCAACTATCTAATCTCCAATAGTGACCACAAAAAATATGGAGAGTGTGCTGTGTTTGACCATATTTCCCAATTCACCAGTGGAGGTGAAAAGAGAAGTATATTATAAAGTGAAGATATTGATGAATCCAAAATGCACAAGAACCCTTGGCCATCTGAAATCCAGTTTAGACAGAAAGTTGTTGTATGCCTCTTTGTCGGATAAACAAAAATTTCTCCTGCTACTTCCCTTCATTGGGAGAATTCTGTAGGATTAAACACTGGACTTTGAACACAAAGTCCATGGTTTGAGCTCACCAGCTGCTCCAGAAGAGAAAACTAAGACTTTCTGCTCCTGTAGAAAGATTTACAGCCTCAAAAGTCTTATATGGGATCACTATGACTTGGTACACACTCGATGGCACTTAACAACAACAATAATTTCATTTGATTTTGCCCATTTTCCCATTGAATTATCTGTCTCCTTTTAAAATTGATTTTTCTGGATGTCTTTGTGTACTCTGGTTGGTTACAGGTTATATATAGATAGTGTTTCTTACATCTTTTGAAGAACAGAGTCTTTAAATAGAAGTTTAAAATGAGTCAAATTTTATAAAGATTTCTTTAGGAATTGTGCTATAAGTCTATTATTTAAGAACTTTTCATTCTCATAAACTGAGTCCTGGTGTGGTGCTGTGGGTAATGCACTGGACTGAAAAATTGGTTTGATCTGCAAGGTCGGTGGTTAAAGCTCACCAGCTGCTCATTGGAAACTCTATACAGGATTGCTATGGGTCAGAACCAACTCAACTGCACTTCACAACAACATCTTTATAAAAAGGACTAGGCTTACTGATCAGATGGAGATTATGGTCCTTAGCCACCCTCATGTCTGGAACTGAACCCACTGCCATTGTTCAATTTTCATTCAAATACTATAGAATAAGCACTGGAATGACTGCTTGCAGTTCAAACCCACAAACCATTCCTTGGAAACCCTATACAAGATTGCTGTGAGTTGCAACTGACTCAACAGCATTTAACAACATAAGGGGAACAATAACATTAGGGAAGCACCCACTCTTTAGAATAATCAACTATTTGAGTTTAAAAAGGCAGCATTTACCCATAAACAAAGTTCAGAGGGTTAGGAAAGAAGGAGGAAGGGAAACAGAAACACAGGAAGGAAGTGTCATAAATGATGTCCATTGTGGTGATTGCAATCAATGACTTGAAACAAAATGTGTATGAATCGTTGAGTGGAAAACTGATTTGCTCTGTTAACCTCAGAATTCACATCAAAATGCTTATAAAAATGAAAAAGAAGAAAGTATAAGGATGGGGGAAGGAGACTGTTATAAATTGAGTTGTGTGGGTTGAATTGTTATTGTCCTTAGGTGCCATTGAGTCAGTTCTGACTCATGGTGACCGTGTATTTATTTACCATGGCTATAAATCTTTAAGGAGCAGGCCTCATCTTTTCCTAGTGACTGGTTGGTGGATTTGAACTGCTGACCTGTGGTTCACAATCCAGTGCTTATTTGACAGTACCACCAGTACTCCATGGATTGAATTATGTCCCCTTAAAATATGTATTATGTATTATGAACTATAAAATATGTATTATGAACTATGACTGTTATAATTCCAGTTGGGATTTAGGTTGTTTTGTTATGTTAATCAGTCAGGATTAGTGGAAGGTGTATTTTGAGTCATAAAATAGATATCTTTTTGAGATATAAAATAGATTAACACAAGGGAGCAGAACAGAGATGGGGGGGAAGAGAGACACCATTCCACATGAAGATCACCAAGGAATCAAAGCTGGAGTGACAAGGACCTTTCTCCAGAAGCAAGAGAAAGAGAAGGCAAAGCCTTTCACTTGAACCAGTGCTCTGGATTTGGAATTTGGACTCTTAGCCTCCTAAGCAGTGCAAAAATAAATTCATTTGTTAATTCCTTCTCTTCACAAAAGAAAAGGAAAGAAAGCTTTCCATACCTTAAGTCTGCAAAGATATTTTTATTTTCTTATAAAGGTCTTAATGTTTTGTCACACTTAAGTATTTCTTTCATTCAAATACAATTGATCTTTATGTATAGTAAGAGTAGCAGTCAATTTCTTATCTTTCTCATATGGATAATCTGTTGTCCTAGTGCATTTTTTATAGTTTTAAAATATTTGTAACGGCAACACTTACCAATTCAACATTTTTCATGAGTATAAGTCTGTGATACCAATTACAGTCAACATTCTATATCCTCAGATTCCACATCCACAGATTAAACTAACCATGGATTGGAACGATTAGAGGGTGGGGAAGAAGCAATTAAGTGGTCAAAGTAATCCCTCAAAGGAGGTAAAGTGCTATTTACCAAGCATTTTCATTGTTTAGATATAAGTATCTAGAGGTGATTCAAAGTAAATGGGAGGAAGTTGGTAGATTATATGCAAATACTACAACATATTATATAAGGGACTTTAAGATCTGAGGATTTTGGTATGAGGGCTTGGGGGTGACCTGGAATCAGTCCCCAATGGATAATGAGAGATGAAGGTACATCAATCGTATTATGCAACCATTACCAATATTTCTTGCCAAATTTCCCATCCATCAAACAGGAACTCAATGTTTTCTAAACAATGCCTCACCTTTTTGCTTTCTCTCACCCATGCTGCTAACCACTATTAACCTCTGATCTGTATTCTTTGTTTATTCTAGCTATTTCATATAAATGAGCTCATATAATATTTGTCCTTTTGTGATTGACTTATTTCACTCATCATAATGTTTTCAAGGTTTATCTATGTTACAGCATGTATCAGTACTGTATTTCTTTTATGGATGAGTATTATCTCATTGTTGGTATGTATCACCGTTCATTTATCCAACCTATTGATGGACACATAGGTTGCTTCCACCTTTTGTTTCTTTTGAATAGTGCTGTAATGTACATTGTATACATGTCATGTCTTTATTTGCATTGCTGTGTCCTAGCACATTTTTTTTTTTTTTTTTAGCAAAAATGATATGGTTTTTAAAAAAATCTTCAGATTTCACAAGGATCATTTCTTATTGAACATGGGAGAAAATATCATCATTCATGTTTTCCTTTTTTCCAGGTATTTGACAAAGAAGAGCTTTTAAAATGCATTCAACAACTTGTGAAACTGGATGAGGAATGGGTCCCGTATTCAACATCTGCGAGCCTGTATATTCGTCCTACATTTATTGGGACTGAGGTGCAAATTGACTACTTACTCTGGGGTACTTCGGTGGGCATGTCATCATTGTTTATTTATGTGTGAAACTTCAGGCTTGTAGATTAAAGCGGCCCCAAATAACTTCATTAATGACTCCTTCTTGCTGATAATCAAATTTAGGATTCAATAAAATGGTCTCTGTCACAAATACTCAGTTCTTCCATTATAGTGGAAAAGTAGTCATAGACTGTATAAATGATTAGCTGAATGAGTAAGGCTGTTTGCCTTCCCCTGATCAAGACTAATTATTACTTCATAAGTTACTAGTGGGATACAACTCAAATGTATCTCCTTTCCAGAAAGCACTTTTCCATGGTAGAAGTAAACAAGGTTCTAAAAAGTAGGGGATGAAGAGCTGGTACTTTTACTTTTATTTTCCTGAAATGTTAGGATTACTTGTTGAGTGGGAGTGAAGAGAGGATAGTGGTAGAAACTGCTGAAGATAAAGTTCAAAATGGGAGTTAGGGAAGGAACTGAAAGAGTTGGGGTGGGAGGTTTTAAAAAGATGGTCTGGAAATCTTCTGGTAAGTAACAGTCTAGTGATTGGGCACTCTTGTGAAAGAAGGGTGGGACTTGGAAGTGCCTGGAGAGGCTAAGGCTATTTGAGTATATTGCATGAAGACCCTTTCGCTGTCTCATTTCTCTTATAGGCAGTGTGGTCTTATGAAGAGTGGGTGATATTGAGGGTTAACTGATGAGTAGATATTGAGTGTGGGTAGCTGATGTAAGGAAGGTAGATATGAAGATCTGGAGAAACAGGGAGATTGAGACAGAGCTCTTTTGCAGTATTTTAGTCATTCTGTTCTCTACTATGTTATTATAGGATTACTAGGTTCTCTGTAAGCTTATATGAAAGCAGGGACATAGAGTCACATGAATAAATATCTCCTTGTGCAGTGTTGTAGGATCAGTGCTTGACATTGAACCACAAGGTCAGTGGTTCAAATCACCTGCTCCTTGGAAAACCTATGTAGTAGGGTCACTATGAGTGGGAACCAACACTTAAGAACAATAACAACTGGTCCTTTGGAATCCTAGTGTGGTGCCCAAGGATAAGCACTGGACTGCAAGGTCAATTTGAACTGCATGGTCAATAACTCAAACCCACAAGCCACTCCTCAGAAACCCTATACAGGGTTGTTACGAGTTAGAACCTCGATGGCACTTAACAACAGCAACAACAAGCAGTCCCTTTGATGTCTTTTGAGAGACTATAAAATATTTGTTGTTGTTGTTGTTAAGTGCCGTAGAGTCAGTTCCGACCCATGAATTTCTTGAATCATAGTTTCCTTAACGAGTTTTAAAGACTTAGGACAGTTTAAAAAGTAGTCTATATTTTTCTATGTTTCTGACATTTTAATATATATGTTTTAGCATGAGACTGGGCAGCATTTCACTCTGTTGTGCATTGGGTCACTGTGTGTCAGAACCAACTTGATGGCACCAAATAACAACACTGTAGGATAAGCACTGGACTGCCAACCACAAAGCTGGTGGTTTGACCCACCAGGTGCTCCTAGGAAACCCTATACAGGATCTCTATGAATAAGAACCAACTCTATGGTACTTAACAACAACATAAGGAAGACTAATTATGACTATTCTTCAACTGTATACAATACTACTAAAGTTAGTGATCATGAAGTTGAAGAATTCTACCAGCTTCTTCCTGGAGTCCTAGTGTGGGGCTGTGGGATAAAACACTGGACCAAAAGATCAGTTTGAACCATGAGATTGGTGGTTCAAACTCACCAGTCATTCCTTAGAAACCCTATACAGAGTCAGTATAAGCCAGAACCTACTTGATGGGACTTAACAACAATAAGAGCAACCAACTTCTTTAGTCTGAAATTGACCAAACAAGATGTATTGATAATTACAGGTGATGTGAAAATGAAAAGTTTGAAACAAAAGAGGACAGATCAGTAGTTGGACAAAATATGGCCTTAATGATAGAAATGATGCTAGAGATCACATGAACGAATTTTGTAAAACCAATGACTTATTCATTTCACATACTTTTTTAAACAGCATAAATGGCAACTATGCACATGAACTTCATGAGCTGCAGTATACAGGAATCAAATTGATTTAATTGGTGGGAAGAGATGATGGAGAAGCTCAGTATTTTCAGTCAAACAAGTCCAGGGGCAGACTGTGGAAGAAATCATTAATTGCTAACATGCAAATTCAGGGTGAAGCTGGAAAAAATTAAAATAAGTCCATGAGAGCTAAGATATGATCTTGACGATATCGCACCTGAATATATAGACAATCTCAAGAACAAATTTGATATATTAGAGACTAATGACTGAAGACCATAAGAATTGTAGGATGACATTATGAATAGCACGCAGGAAGAAAGCAGAAGACCAAAATGAATGTCAGAAAAGACTCTGAAACTTGCACTTGAGTCTAGAGAAGCTAAAGCGACTAAAAGAAATGATGAAGTAAAAGAACTGAACAGACAATGTCAAAAGACAAGAAAACAAAGTAAAGCGTTACAGAGGAATGTGCAAAGACTTGGCGTTAGAAAATCAAAAAGGAAGAACATGTTTAGTGTTTCTCAAGCTGAAAGAACTGAAGAAAAAAACTTCATTAACTTATAATAGTGAAGGGATGAAATATTGAATGATGCAGAAAGCATAAAAAAAAATGGAAGAAATATGTATGCAAAGTCATGCTACCAAAAAGAACTGGTTGATGCTCAACCATTTCAAGAGGTAGCATATGATCAAGAACCTGGTGTGTGTGGTGCTCTGGTAGCATAGTGGTTACGAATCGGACTGCGAACCTTAAGGTCAGCGGTTCGAAACTACCAGCCGCTCCGCGGGAGAAAGATGAGGCTTTCTACTCCTGTAAAGATTTACACCCTCGGAAACCCTGTACAGGGTCGCTATGGGTCGGAACCGACTCGACGGCACTTAACAACAACAACAACAACAACTTCAAGATTGGCGGTTCAAGTTCACCACTTGCTCCTAGAAAACCCTTTACTGCATCGCTATTAGAACCATCTCAACGGCATTTATTAACAACAACAACTGAAGGAAGAAATCCAAGTTGCACTTAAGACGTTGGCAAAAAATAAGTTTCTAGGAATTGATGGAATACAAACTGAAATCTTTCAACACACTGATGTAGCTCTGGATGCACTTGTCTATGCCAAGAAATTTGGAAGAAAGCCAGCCAATTGGAAGAGATCCGTATTTGTGACCATTTCAAAGAGAGGTGATCCAACAGAAAGTAGGAATCATAGATCACTGTCATTAATGACACATGCAAGCAAAATTTTGTTGAAGATAATTCAGAAACAGTTGCAGCAGTGCGTAATCAGGGACTTGGCAGAAACTCAACCTATTTCAGAAGAGTTCCTGAAACTAGGATATCATTGCTGATGTCAGATGGATCTTGGCTGAAAGCAAAGGATGCTGGAAAGATGCTTACTTGTACTTTATTGACTTTGCTAAACCATTTGACTGTGTAGATTTTAACAAACTATGGAGTCCTGGTATGGCACTGTGAGTTAACGTGTCAGATTGCAGTCATTTGAACTGCAAGGTTGGTGGTTCAAGCTCTCCAGTTGCTTCTTGGAAACCCTATACAAGTTTGCTATTGGTTGGAATCGACTTGCCGGCACTTAACAACAACAGCAACATGGATAACATTGCTTAGAATGAATATTTTAGAGCACTAAATTGTACTCATGGGGAACCTGTACACAGACCAAGAGGCAGTTGTTTTAACAGAATGAGGGCATACTGAATGGTATAATATCAGGGAATTTGTGTGTCATGCTTGTATCCTTTCACTATACTTATTCAATCTGTATGCTGAACAAATAATCAAATGAAGTGGAACATGGCATCAAATTAGAGGAAGATTCATTAACAACCTGCAATATTCAGATGATACAACCTTGTTTGCTGGAAGCAAGGAAGACTTACAGAGATAACAGCCTTCAGTATGGATTGCATCTCAATGTAAAGAATTAAAAAATCCAAATTGTCCAAGACTTCATTGCTTGGACCCACAATCAACACTAATGGAGGCAGTAGTCAAGAAATCAAACATTAGTCAAATCTGTTGCACAAGACCTCACATTGAGGACTAATGTGCACCTGACCCACGTCATAGAATTTTCAGTTGCCTCATATGCATATGAAAGTTGGACATTGAATAAGGAAGGCCATAGAAGGATCAATGCATTTGAATTGCGGTGTTGGGGAAGAATATCAAGGGCTGCCACGAAAACAAACAAATCTGTCTTGGAAGAAGTACAACCAGAATGTTTCTCAGATACCAGGATGATGAGACTTAAGCTCTCATACTTCATTTATGTTGTCAGGAGTGACCTTATGCTTGATAAAGTGGAAGGCCAGCAGAAAAGAGGAAGACACCCAATGAGATGATTTGATACAGTAGTAGTAACAACAATGATTGTGAAGACTGCAGCGCAGGGCAATGATTTGTTCATTCCAGTCATTATCATGAATTGCCCTTTCATGGTGACTGCATTTATGCATGAAATACTGGTTTCCAGTTCTTTCTGATTCTTTCATCTTTTTTGCCTGCCCTTTTAGTGTTGCTTGGTTTTATGATGGCTTGTCACTGCCTTCCCAGAATAGTTGCAGAATTATGTCTGGAGTGGTGCTATGCGTTAACATGCTGGTCTGCAAAGCTGGTTTGAACCACAAAGTCAGCAGTTCAAACTCACCAGCTGCTCCTTGGAAACCCTATATAGGGTTGCTATGGGTTGGAACCAATTCAATGATACTTAACAACAATAACAAATGTCTGTATCAGTTGTATTCTTTTTTTGGTTTGGTCTCCTGCTGCCGGCTTACATGCACGTTTTTCAGATACTTTTCATGTTTAGATGATCTCATTAGCTGGATCCTGGTATGGCACTGTAGGATGAGCACTGACTGCTAGCCACAAGATCTGAGGTTCAAACCACCAGCCAGCCGCTCCTTGGC